CAATCCCCATGAATGGTAATGAGCATTGTAATCTTTGGCAAACATCTCCACTTCTGAACTTATTTTGAAGAAAGATTATTGATGTAGCAGCTGAAGATAGTTGCACCCTGAGAAACTCTTGCAGTGGTATCCCACATTGATAGAACTTTGTCAACTGCAGCTGTCTTCCTTTGTGCTAGGAATGACTCTAGCCACTGGAGAGTTTTTCCCCTGATTCCCATTGACTCCTTACTGTCATACTCAAATGTTGCCTTTGTGTCAGGAGCGATCACTTTCACCTCATCTCTAGAGATCAATTTTTTTTTCCATCTTTGACCAAGACCGAATTAAAATCAGGAACTAAGTGATCCTGCTGGAATCCGAACTGAGCATCAGTGTGCAGGTTACTCCTTTGCAAGTGTAGCTTGATAGCACTGTTGATGCCGCCTTCGATCACTTTGCTTATGATTTGAGAACATACTGATGGACCTGTAATTTGGCTAGGTTGGATTTGTCCTGCTTTTTATGGACAGGACATATTTGGGAAATTGTCCACGCCGTTAGGTGTATGCTAGTATTATAGCTGAACTGGAACCGTTTAGCTAGAATTACACCTGGTTCTGCACTACAAGTCTTGCGTAATACAACTAGGATGTAAGGATTGATAGATTTTGTAATATCCAGTGCCTTCAGCTGTTTCTTGATATCATGTGGAATGAATCCCAGTATCAGAAGGTCTGAACTCCTGGGAAATGGATGCAAATACCGCTGGTATCTTTTGCACTGATGTGTTGAGCTCTTCCATTGTTGAGGGCAGAGATATTTGTGGAGACACCACATCCTGTTAGTTATTTAATTGACAACCACCATTCATGACTGGATGTGGCAAGACTACAGAACCTTGACTGTGGTGTAGCTTCCTCTGTGTCTGTTGCATGCTGCTTTCACTGTTGGACATGGACGTAGTCTAGTTTCACCACGTTGACACCTTTTTGCTTTTAGGTATGGCTGGTGCTATTCCTGGCATGCCCTCCTGCACTCTTGACTGAACTAAGTATCATTACTGTTCTTTGGAGAATTGAGGTGCCTTTTTTGTTTAAGTGTCACCCCAGAAACAGCAGTGGACAATATGCCCTGTTGATCTGTTTTAGTTAATTGAGGAGTAAATTTTGGACAGGATAGTTGTGAAACCTCTCCCTCTTCAAAATTTTTACATGCATTTGTGAGAAAAATCAAGGTTTGATTAACCATTTCATATGAAAGATGTTATGACTGAGCTAGGAGCAGTGAACTGTTTTTCTCCAGATCTCGAATTTGGTTGGTAACAACAGAAATTTAATTGTTTTTACCTGGTTCCCAATATGTCCAATCATACACAAAAACAGAAACTGCTGGAGAAACTCAGCAGGTCTGGCAGCATCTGTGTAGAGAAGAGCGAGTTATTGCTTTCAGTCCAGTGGGATTTGAATCCATGTTTTTCTGCCTCCAAAGATGTGAGCATTACTGAGTCAAGAGTGCATCTTTGCACTTGAACTTGAGACTATGTCAGTATGAGCCGTTAGGCTTGAGAAAGAAGGTATTCTGTCGCTGAAAGTGTGGGAAAGTTGGATTTCTTATATCTGAATTGAGTCCAATGAAGGTAGTGTCTCATTTTTAATTGAAGCATGGGAAGAGAGGCACTAGGGAATGATAGTTTGGTAAGGGACTGTTTAGTTGCCCATTTGAGCACTTAAAGTTGTCACTTTGTTTTTCCTTCATTATTTCAAAGTGGTACATTGTTCAACAGTTACCAGCCTTATTATTGTTAATGTAACATTTCCAAATATTTCAGAGGAGTACTCTGCCCTGATAAAAGAATCTCATTGGCACACTTCTTACAGTATGTGAAAGAACATTGTGTACCTGCTGTTTAAATTACAAGTTTTTTGCAGCTTGTTTTCACACAAGTCATACTTTAATTGTTGTTTCTCTACAGGCTATTTGTAAATTTTGAATATATTGCTAGCTTCATAGACTGTCATATCTGTAACAAAAAAAATTAATAGATGTGCGTTGTTGAATTTGTCAGTTTTGAATACACATTCCTCATTGTCCTGAGAAAATATTGGTGGGCCACCATTTTGAAATGCTGCAATCAGTGCAGTGCAGTGCTTCCACAATTCTATTAGGCAAAGAGTTCCAGGATTTGGATTCAGCATTGATGAGTATATGCCCAAGTCGCGTTAGTGCTGCAATGCATGCACTCTTACTCATCTAGGTGGTGAAAGTTAAGTTTTGATGGTACTGCTGAAGAAACCTTGGTGTCATGCTACAATTTGTCCTGTGGATTTTATGCATTGCACCCTTGATCCACTGCAGAAGAGCAGGTGGATATTTAGGCTTTTAAATGAAGCGCTGATCCAATCATAAAGGGAGGCACCTGCCACAAGATGACCAACCTATGATCTACTCCAGTAGCTATGACTTTGAGGTTAGTCCATTTGGGCCTCTAGTCAATAGTGATCCCTAACAATTTACCTCTTTTTTTTTCCCCCCTATCGTTCTACACAGAGGTGATGTTAGGGAAATTGAAATGCAGTTGGGATGCCTTGCTGCGGTAGTTACATTCTCCTATTGGCGAGTGTCATTCGCACTAAAATGGTGAAAATATTATGCATCAGCCAAGCCTGGCATTTGATATTAAGTACATGTGGGCATGGACTGCTACATTAGCTGGCAATTTGCGAATCAAAATGAATACAACCATCATCAAATGGTTCTAATTCTGACCTCAAAGTGAAGTGATAGTCATTGATAAATCTGGAGATATTTGAGGCTAAGAGCTTGATTGGAGAACTTCTTGAATAATCTCACGGTCCTTCAATGATTTGTCTCCAGCAACTGTAACTGTCTTGCTTTGTGCTAGGCATCATTCTATTCACTGGTGAGTTCTTCCCTCATCTTCATTGGCTTCAATGTTTACTTGGGTTGTTTGCTGCATTGCTAAGAATGTCAATGCATGTCAAGAAAGTCATTCAAAGTTAACATTTCAGAATGTCCATGTTTGGGACAAAGTTGTATTATGGTCTGTAGTTGAATTCCCCGAGTAGAACTCAAGCTGATCCGAGACAACAAGGTGCAGAGCTGGATGAACACAGCAGGCCAAGCAGCATCATAGGAGCAGAAAGGCTGA